GTAATGATTACACTTTTGCAAGTAGCCTGATGCTGTGAAGAACTCTCCTGCCTTCCCATTCATTGAGAACTCAAAGAATATCCTTAAATTAAATGGGGCTTGGGTAGGTGTGCGAACCAAATTCATTCAGAGACAAATTCTTGAGTCGGTTGGATTGTTGACAACTATATTCCTTTTGTCTTTGTAGACGTGGCATGTTTTGGACAATAGAATACTTTCTTGAATTCTGATTGGTGTTTGATGACACCACTATAAGTTAGCCCTTATTTTAGGCATAGCAATTTGTTTATTAATTTCATTGCATTTGGGATCAAAATGTAATTTATTCACTTATTTATTATTTTAAGTAAATCTATAAGAAAAAAATCAGTATCTTAATACTCAAATGAAAATTCAGATATACGGATACCATTGTTAGAAGTTAGGAATTTTGCTGTACAGAAACTATAGTTGGAAGTTGGAAAAGAGTTACTTTAGTTATATTTATCTCGTGCTTTCCAAGAGCCACAAAGTTCTTCATCTTTCAAAATTTTCTAAAGAAATTTATTCTTCATTCAGTCTCATTGTCGATCAAGGTAATATCTACTTATGGTTGAAGCTCTTATCATAGCTGAGAACTGTTTTGTTCCTAGGACAAAGAAGGAAGAAGAAGAAATTGAAACGATCTACAATAAATATGAAGACATGATTGAAGGATGGTGACGATGTCTTTCAATATCAAGGTTTTTGGTTCCTTTTCAAGCATACTCTTGAAATAATGTGGGTGCAGCAACATTTCAAGGTTCGACACTCTGATGTGTTGAATGGTTATACCATGTTGGAAATGAAGAAGTTGGTAGAAAAAATTTGAACTACATGTTTTACCGCCGTTTGGTCTTCCATAGTTCATGCAAAAGCAGGTTTTGGGTCACTATTATGGATTGGTTCAGTGATGTGTTTAGGTATATTAGGTTTGGTTAAATGTAATTTTACTTATGCCTGTATGTGTATTTGTTGGTGTATTGTGTTTAAATTTAAAATTTGTAATTCCATTAGGTGAAACAGTGGCGAATGTTTTGTATAAGTTTGTCTTTGTTTTTTGAATAAAAAACAGAGCATCATTTTTTTAGTCTCGGTTCTCTTTCCTTCATCTGTTTCTCTTCTTTGTTTTCATGCAAAACCAACAATTGGTATCAGAGCATACATTGATCTTAGAGAGCTTGATAATCTAATCTTCTTAATCCTAACTTTCAACCCCTGTTACAATATTCTCTTTATCAAAACTCCAAATATTTAGTTTCAATGGCACAACCTTCAGCCTCTCTTACTCCTACAGTCTTTAATGGCGAGCAATATCATATGTGGGCAGTCAAGATAAAGGCATTCCTTCGTGGATAAGGTCTGTGGCAGTACGTGGAGGAGAACCGTCAACTGCCTCACTTGGGACCGAATCCCACCCTGAATCAAATTAGGATGCATAAAGAATAGGCTGCCAAGGCACCGAGAGCTCTCTCTCCATCCATGCAGAAGTAACTAACCTTGTATTCACAAGGATTATGGCATATGAAACACTAAAGGAAGCATGGGATAAGTTGAGAGAAGAGTATACTAGTAGTGACACAACAAGAGGCATGCAAGTGTTGAACTTGAGAAGAGAATTTGAGTTGATGAGAATGAAAGAAACTAAGAAGGTGAGAAAGTACGTTGATAGATTGATGAGTGTGGTTAATAAAATTAGATTGCTTGGGGTGGAGTTGATGGATAGAAGAATTATAGAGAAAGTGTTAGTGAGCCTACCTAAAAGATTTGAGGGTAAAATCTCCTCTCTTGAGCATTCTAAGGACCTAACTCAAATAACACTCACTAAGCTGGTCCATTCCTTACAAGCTCAAGAGCAAAAGAGGCTTTTAAGGCTAGAAGACGCAGGTGAAAGTGCTATGGTTGCTACACATAAAGGAAAGTTTGTACAGGCAAGAAATAAAAGAAACGTAGGAGACAAGAAAGGGAAAGAAAAGGCCAACGTTTAATGGAACAAATCTGGTGGGATAAAAGAGTACCCACCGTGTTCCCACTACAAGAAGAAGGGACACTCAGAGAAAAGGTGTTGGTTCAGACCAGGAATTCACTGTACAGCTTGCAAACAATTCGGTCATATAGAGAGAGTTTGTAAAAATAAAGGGGAACCTTCTCAACAGCAAGCTCAGATGGTTAAAGATTTGCAGCAAGGGCAGGAAGCTGAGCAATTATTTATGGCATCCTGCAGCACAGCCTCACTATTCAATGAAACCTAGTTGATTGATAGTAGGTGCACCAATCACATGACTCCGAATTTGCAAAGCTTTATCAGCTTGGACAAGGTGTCTCAATCCAAGGTCAAGATAGGGAATGAAGTATTTGTGGATGTCAAAGGGAGAGGTGATGTGGCTGTGCAAACTCAATCAAGTATTAAGTTGATTTCTAATGTGCTTTATGTTCCTGAAATAAATCAAAGTTTACTTAGTGTAGGACAAATGTTAGAGAAAAAATATGTCTTACATTTTCAGGATCAATCTTGTAAAATACTAGATAGTGAGGGTTGTGAACTTATGAGGGTTAGAATGATGGGAAAAAGTTTTCCCATGGATTGGAAAAAATCAAAATTCAAAGCTCATAGTGCTAAGTTTGATGAATCTGAGATTTGGCATAAACATTTTGGCCATTAGCACTACCACGGCCTCAAACAAATTCAGACCAAACAGCTGGTCCAGAACATGCCTGAAATTGATGAAGTTAAATCCATATGCCATGCATGTCAACTTGGCAAGCTGAGCATACCACCCTTTCCCATAAACCAAGCTTGGAGAGTTATAGAAAAACTCCAACTCATCCACACGGATGCATGTGGACCTATGCAAACATCTTCTATGAATGGAAGTAAGTATTTTGTCTTGTTCATTGATGATAAGTCTAGAATGTGTTGGGTGTATTTCTTGAAGCAAAAAAATGAAGTGGTTGGAGTTTTGGGGAGGTTTAGGCTACTGGTTGAAAGCCAAACTAGTTTGAGTATCAAAATGGTGAGGAGTGACAATGGGAGTGAGTATACATCAAAAGAGTTTGAAACAATCTGTATAGAGGCAGGAATTAAGCACCAATACGGCAGTCCTTATACTCCACAATAGAATAGAGTAAGTGAGAGAAGGAATAGGACCGTTGTAGAGTTGGTGAGATGCATGTTGGCTGAGAAGAAACTGTCGAAATGTTTTTAGGCAGAAGTTGTAAACACTTCAATCTATTTACTTAATAGACTTCCCATAAAAGCCTTGATCAACCAAACCCCTTATGAAGCTTGGTATGGAATCAAACCAGCTGTGGACCATTTAAGGGTCTTTGGAAGCATTTGTTATGTCCTTATTTCAACAGTCAAGAGGAGGAAGTTGGATGACAAAGCAACTATAAGAATTCTTATTAGATATAGTAATCAATCTAAGGCATATAGAGTGTATAGTCCAAAAACCAAGAAGATCCATGTCACTAAAGATATTAAGGTTGATGAGAAAGGTGTTTGGAATTGGGAAGAGAACAAAGTTGATGAAAGAGAAAGTCCACGGCTAACTGAAGCTATTGGTGATGAAGTTGTTGAAGAAGATGGAAGTGAAACTGAAGAGGAGCTCCCGGTTAGAGGTACTCGATCATTGGCTGAAGTATATGAGAGGTGTAATATGGCTACACTTGAACCAATAAGCTTCACTGAAGCAGAAAAATCTGAAGCTTGGAGAGTTGCTATTTAGGAGGAATTAGCAATGATAGAGAAAAATTAGACCTGGAAGCTTATGGATAGACCAAAGGATAGAAAAGTGATTCAAGTCAAGTGGATTTTCAAGAAGAAATTTAATCCTGATGGTTCAGTTCATAAACACAAAGCAAGGTTGGTTGTCAAGGGATTTACTCAACAATATGGAATTGATTTTCAAGATACATTTGCACCCGTGGCTAGGCATGATACAATCAGGTTGTTACTTGCTTTGGCTGCATAATTCAAGTGGAAAATCTTCCAACTGGATGTCAAGTCTGCATTTTTGAATGGATGGCTCAATGAAGAGATTTATATTGAGCAACCAGAAGGGGTACCAGGTTAAAGGCCAAGAGAATAAAGTATGCCTTTTGAGGAAGGCTTTGTATGGCCCAAAACAGGCTCTTAAAGCTTGGTATAGCAGGATCAATGATTATTTGAGCAGCTTGGGTTATTTGAGAAGTCCCAATGAGGACACATTATATGTGAGAGAGGTGGAAGGTGAATTGATTATTGTTTCACTATATGTAGATGATCTTCTAATTATCGGAAGCAGTCCAAGTAAGTTGAATGAGTTTAAGGAAATCATGCATTGTGAATTTGAAATGACAGACCTTAGGAAAATGTCTTACTTCCTCGATATGGAAATTAATCAAGCTTCATATGGGATATTTGTTAATCAAAGGAAGTATGCTAGTTTGGCATGGATAAATTCAAGTTAGTCAATACACCGTTGGTTGCAACTCAGAAACTGAACAAAGAAGACGGGGTTGTGAAGGTAGATGAGAGTCTATACAGAAGCTTAATAGGTTGTTTGCTGTATCTAACAACAACCAGGCCTAATTTAATGTTTGCAACAAGTCTTCTCTCCAGGTTTATGAGTAATCCAAGTGAAAACCATTTCAGGGCAACCAAGAGGGTGCTCAGGTATATTAAAGGTAATCCTGGATTTGGTGTGTGGTTCATGAAGTCTGAAAATTTCCAGCTTGTGGGATGTTTAGACAATGACTGGGCTAGATCGATTGATGACATGAAGAGTAATTTTGGCTATGTGTTTTTCTTGAATTCAGGTGCTCTGTGTTGGCTATCCAAAAAGCAGGAAACGGTAGCTCGGTTTACAGCAAAAGCAGAATACATTTCTGCTGCTGCTGCCGTGAACCAAGCCATTTGGCTTAGGAAAATTTTGAATGATCTAAAGCAAACTTAGAGACAGCCTACTGTGATTTTTTGTGACAATCTGTCTGCAATTGCTATGGCCAAAAACCCAGTTCATCATGGATGTACCAAACATATAAAGATAAAATTCCATGCAGTAAGGGAAGCTGAACAAGATGGTGAAGTTGGGTTGATACACTGCCGGGGAGAAGAACAGGTCGCAAACATCATGACTAAGCCATTATCCAAAGCCAAGTTTGAACATCTTCAGTCCAGACTTGATGTTTCCAACAATGATATCAAGGAGGAGTGTTGAATGGTGATACCATGCTGGAAATGAAGAAGTTGGCAGAAAAAATTTGAACTGCATGTTTTACCGCCATTTGGTCTCCCACTGTTCATACAGAAGCAAATTTTGGGTCACTGTTATGGATTGGTTCAGTGATGTGTTTAGGTGTATTAGGTTTGGTTAAATGTAATTTTACTTATGCTTGTACGTGTATTAGTTGGTGTATTGTGTTTAAATTTGAAATTTGTAATTCCCTTAGGTGGAACAGTGGCGGGTGTTTTATATAAGTTTGTCCCTGTTTTTTGAATAAAAAATAGATCATCATTTTCCAGTCTCGGTTCTTTTTCTTTCATCTGTTTCTCTTCTTTGTTTTCATGCAAAACCAACATGATGTTTACTTGGCTTCATATCAAAATCTGGTACTACTTGGCTTAAAGCTCTAGTTTTCTCTATAATCTACGGGACAAAATATGAGTTTTCAGCTCATCACTTGCTTACAACTAGCATCCATGATTGTGTTCCCTTTATGGAGCTTGACTGTTTCAGGAAGCCTACTATTGCTAACCCTGAAGTCCTTCCCTCTCCTCGTCTTCTTATTACCGATATACCTTTCACTTTGTTGCCAGATACCATAAAAAATAAAAATAAAAATACTTTTCCTGTCCGATTGTCTACATATGTAGAAACTCGAAAGATGTATTTGTTTCCTTTTGGCAATTCCTGAAGAAGTTGAGTTCCAAAGATCTGTCATCTGCTTCATTTGAAGATGCATTTGACATGTTCTGTGAAGGGATTTCCCCGTTGGGACCCTTTTGGGATCATGTTTTAGAATATTGGAAAGCAAGTTTAGAGTTCCCCAACAAGGTCCTTTCTTTAAATGTGAAGATATGAAAAATGAGCCCTTACTCAATATAAAGAGATTGGCAAAGTTCTTGGGGCAGCCATTTTCCTTGGAAGAAGAAGAAAATAGGACTGTGCGTGAAATTGTTAGACTTTGTAGCTTTGAGAACATGAAAAATTTGGAGGTGAACAAGACTAGTATCTATCGTGTTCAAGGTTCTAAGAACGATATCTTCTTCAGGGAAGGTAAGGTTAGAGATTGCAAGAACCATTTAACAACTGAAATGATGGAGAGTCTCGACCAAATCACAGAGCAAAAGTTCCATGCTTCTAGCTAGATGTTTTAGTTTGATCCGAGATCGACCAGTTTGTCATTGTGCTTGTTTAAATTGGAGTTTGTATCCTAAGATTTACTAGTTTGTCATTGTACTAGCATAAATTGGAGTTCGTTTTTTTTTTTTTTCCCTAAATTATGTTTCTTTCATCAAATGCAACATTGTATGAACAATATAATATTGTTTATTCCTATAATAAAAGGAGGGATTAAGAGGATGTCGAGAAACTAAGTTCTTTTTTCACACACTAGTAAATATGATCAAAACTCAATGAGGAGAACCTCTCTACTTGTGGCCGAATGGTAAATTTTTTAGCTATTGGAGTTATATCTAGGAGGTTCGTGTACGAGTGGCAGTAAGGTACTTACCAAAAAAACATGATCAAAACCTCTTAACAAAACAGATCAAATGCTTCTTCTACTTGGGTGTTTGATAATTAGGGTTATTAACGAGCCGAGTCGAGTTTTTGGCTTAACGAGCTCGGCTCGTGAAAAGGAAGAAGAATTCAAGCCGAGTCTGAGTCTGAGTCGAGTCGAGCCTCTAATTTCCTGACTCGACTCAACTCGTAAAGAGAGAAAAAGAATTCGAGCCTAGCTTGTGAGCCAGCTTAACGAGCCGAGTTAGAGCCGGCTCGCGGGCCAGCAAAAAACATGCAATTTTTTTTTTTTAAATTCATTGCAGATTTTCTCTCTCTCACTTATTACTCTTTCTCTTTCACTTATTTTCCCCTCTAATTTATTATTTGATTTGCTTTCTCTTCTTTTCTCTCTCTCCAGACTCTAATGGCTCACTTTTCTCTCTCTTTTTTTTTTTTTCCTTTCTTTCTTTCTCCCTGTTTCCCTTGCTCTCTCCAGTCTCCACCAACTCTGAAGTTATTCTTTTCCTCTTCTCTTTTGTTACTTATTACTCTTTGCTTTCTCTTCTTTTCTCTCTCTCTAATGATGCCTGTTTCTCCTATTTTCTTTTTCTTTCCTTCTTTCTCCTTTTTTCCAATTTTCTCTTTCTTTCTTTCATTCTTTCTCCTTGTTTCCTTGCACTCTCCACCAACTTTGATTTATTTCCTTCTTTCTCCTTGTTTCCCTACACTCTCCACCAAATCTGACGCCGACAACTTGCCTAAAATGGTTTGGTTTGGTTTGGTTTGGTTTGGTTTTAGGGGAAAGGATTTAAGTCGCCTTTTTAGGGATTTTAACATCGGAGTGTTCTTTGTCATTTTGCAAACTTTTTGTTTTAAAAATTTTAGTTTAATCCCCTATACTTAATAAAACCCCTAAAATGCCCCTAATTATTCGAGCATGGCTCAGCTCACAAGCCTAATGAGCCGAGCTGAGGCAGGCTCAAACTCGGCTCGTGCTCTCTCACGAATCGAGTTGAGCCAGCTCGATTCCAGACGAGGCGAGCCGTTAACGAGCCGTACTCGAGCCGAGCCGAGTCAGCTTGCGAGCGGCTCGCCTCATTGAACACCCCTATTGATAACTCCTTCCCAAAGAAACGCAGAACATTTTTTACGTCTTACAAATGTACAAATTCGACAATTACAAGATTTTACTGTTTAATGCAAGCAAAACAAGAATGATTAATTTATTACATCACTGGTATGAAAGTGTTATTGAAACATCAAACATCAACATTCACAACAATTATAGTTATCTGAAAGCAATTCCTTTCGCAGCAACATGGCTTTGAAGCATAGGGAACCTAAAACAACTGAAAACTCAAGCAGATCGCTTAATTTTCCTCAGAATTTCATATTCCAATTTCTGAATACCCATCTTCAGTAGCACAAGCTCGAAACATGCCTGCGGTATTGAGAGGCATGGTGATTTCCCCTGTGGAAGACACAGCAATCAACCCAACAGTGCCTCTTGGAACGCACTCCTCTACACCATGAGATGCTGCTTCCTTCAGAGAGAGACCTATAAATTCCATAAGAACAGCAACATCCCTCGCAGCAGTAGCTCGTATTATTGCTTCACCTTGCCAGTAGCAGAATTGCACAGAGGTTGTTTGCGTATGTTTCTGCACCAATGATGGGTGTATCCCTGTTCGTTTTGTGAGCTGGTTATTCAAAGAAGAAGAGAGATAAAACGCAAAAGCTGGACGTCATTTTCATTAGACAAAACCTGCATATAACATACTTAACAACTGTTTCAACAACCAGCCGAAACTTTTCCTTAATCTAAGCTAAGCCACACAAAAGGCTAACTACTTCATTACAAAAGTTGAGGATTAAACAAAGGTTAACATTAAACTACAATATATTTTAGTTACTAAGAAGAGAGCACTCCCATGCAGTCCATGCAGAGTAGAAACTCTTCCAGGTTTCACATGCATTCGTCAATCTACTTCCAGCACCGCATCAACCTTCAACACCACCTTGGTGCTTGGTGGAAACACAAGTTTTAGCCTCAAGGCTTCAAACTTGGATTTGCATAATGCCTTTGTCATGATATCTGCAACCTGGTCTTCTCCTCGGCAGGTGAACTAAGTTCACTTCTCCACATTGTTCAGCTTCCCTAACAGCATGATATTTGATTTTAATAGCTTTGTTCTGCCGTGAAGCACAGGGTTCTTTGCCATGCTACAGCCGACTGGTTGTCACACAAAATCAAGGTAGGATCCATTTGCATTTGCTGTAAGATCAAGCATTTTCCTAAGCCACACAGCCTGATTCACAGCTGCTGCGGCAGACACATATTCAGCTTCAGCAGTGGACTGACCACGTTTCCTGCTTCCTTGACAGCCAACTAATAGCACCCTCATTCAGATAGAACACGTAACCAGGGGCTTCTTGCATCATCCACAGATCCACCCCAGTCATGTCAGTGTACCCCATCAGGTTCAGACTTTCGGATTTCCTGAACCAAATGCCTAGCATGCAGGTTCCTTTTACATACCTCAACACACGTTTGGCAGCTTGGAAGTGCAATTCACTTGGGTTGCTCATAAACCTTGAGAGGTAGCTGTTGTAAACATTAGATAGGTCTGGTGGCTGTATAATACAGCAGACTTCCCACAAGGCTTCTGTATTTCCCTTCATCCACTCTCTCTGCACCATCTGTTTTGCTTAACTTCAGGTGGGAATCAGAGGGGTATTTACTGGTTTGCAATTCTCCATTCCAAACCTTGAAAGTAGCTCAGTTGCATACCTTTGTCGACAAACAAAAATCTCCCAACGCCTTGAGTTATCTCCATGCCAAGGAAGTAATTCATCAATCCAAGTCTGTCATTTCAAATTCAGCTTGCATATAACTTGAATTGGTCCAATTCATCAGGATTACTCCTGTCACCACAAGTCATAACATACAAGGATACACAGCCACTCCCTTTTCAGACTTCCTAATGTAGAGAGTTGTTCATTAGGACTTCTAACGTATCCTAGGCTGCATAGATGGTATTTATGGCGTGTACCAGGCTCTAGGTGCCTGCTTCAAGCCATATAATGCCTTCCTCAGTAGGTACACAGATCCTCCTTTCCCTCAGCCTGGTAGCCTTCGGGTTGTTCTACATACAACTCCTCTGTAATCCATCCATTTAAGAATGCAACTTGACATCCAGCTGGAAAATTTCCCAGTTGAACTGAGCGCAAGAGCCAACAAAGTCTGATTGTGTCTTGCCTAGCAACCGGGGCAAATGTTTCTGAAAAATCAATGCCTGGTTGCTGTGCAAATCCCTTCACCACCAGCCTTGCTTTATGCTTGTAAATTGAGCCATCAGGGTTGATTTTCAGTTTGAAAATCCATTAACCTAAATGATTTTCTGTTAGGTCTAGGTACCAGTTTCCAGGTTTGGTTTTATTGATCATGCTCAATTCTTCCTGCATGGCAGTCCTCCACAACTCAGATTTTGCAGCATCAAAATAGCATCTTGGCTCCACCACTGCCGTATTGCACCTTTCATACACATCAGCCAAGTCTAGTTCCTCTCACAGCATGCTCTTCCCTCATCTGAATCTGCTCTTTGAATCAGTACCTCTCTTCCTCATTCTGACTTGATTCAACCTGCACAACAACTCTTTGTTCTCCCAATTCCATACTCCACATTCATCAACCTTAATGTCCCTTGTGATTACAATCCTTTGGACTTAGGAACATAAACTCTTAGGCTTTAGAGTTGTGCTATAGCCTATAAATATCCCAATTTCTGCCTTATCATCTAACTTAGACCTTTGTGGCTGGGAATCTACATAAGCTATACTTCCAAACTCTTTCAGGTTCCCTACTGTTGGCTTGATTCCAGTCCATGCCTCAATTGGTGTTGATGTTTGACAGCCTTGGTGGGCGCCTATTCAGCAGGAAAACTGCTGTATTAACAGCTTCTGCCCAGAACACTTAGGAAGGCTTTTTCCAGTATCATGCACCTGGCATTTCCATAATGGTTCGATTCTTCTCTCAGAGACACCATTTTGTTGAGGGGTGTATGGTGCTGTGAACTGTTGCTGTATTCCAGCTAGGCTGCATATCATCTGAACTCATTTGAGGTGTACTCAGTCCCTTGTCGTCCTCCACTGCCTTGATCAAGGTTCCAGCTTCATCTCCACAGCAACTTGAATTGTTTGAACACAGCAGCCACTCACTTTCTGCTTAAGAAATACACCCAAGCCATTCTTGAAAAATCATTATGAAGAGTACAAAATACTGCTGCCATTTAGAGATTCGTTCCTCATAGGGCCACACACATCTGAGTGGATCAATTGCAACTTGTGACTTGCTCTCAGGCTTGATCCGAAGGGAATGGTGGCCTACTAAGTTTGCCAAGTTGGTAGGCTGTGCACAGTTCTTTTCTCTTCTATTTCGGGCAGGTCTAATACCATGTCCCTTGTCTTGAGTTCTTTGATTCCAGGGTAATGGAAATGTCCTAGTCTTCTATGCCTAAATCAGACTCTTCAGCCTTGGTGATTAATGCTAAGTTTTCTGGTTTTTTCCAGTCCAACGGAAAGCTTTTGCCAAGCATCCTTACACTTAACAACTCTTTTCCTCACTGTCTTTATAATGCAAGAATGGTTTTGGAAATGTAAGGTAAAATTTCTCTCTAACATTTGACCTACACTAGCAAGTTTTGTGCAATTTCAGGTACAAACAAAACATTAGAGAAACCTTGTACCTGCCTTGGTTTGGACTGCCACATCTCCATCCTCTTGTTCTACATAGTCACCATTTCCAATCCTCACCTTGGAGCTGTATGATCTGTCCGCCTGACAAAGTTCTCCACATTCGCAGCATGTGGTTAGTACATCGTGTCTATCAGCCAAACTTCTCCAAAGGTCTGCATTGAGAAGCATGAGGCTACAAACAGTTGTTGTCCATTGGACTGCTGTTGTTCATCTGCATTTGTGCTTGCTGTGGTGGTTGTGAGCCTTGTTCCTGCACACCTTCTCAATGTGGCGAATTGTTTGCATCCCCTGCATTGAATCCCAGGCCTGAACCAGCACTTGCTGTCCGGATGTCCCTTCTTTTTACAGTGGGAACATGGTGGATAACTTCTTCCTCCATCTGTTTTCCCCACTGTCCACCAACTCTCTCTTTCTCTCTCTATCCCCAGCATATCTTCTATTACTCCCCTGCGTATTCACTCCCTTTTGAGCAGCATCATAGCACCTTCATTTGAGTCCTCCTGCCTCATCAACCTTCTTTGTTCTTGGGCCTGCAGGGCAGTACCAATTCCGTAAGGCTGATTTGGGAGAGGTCCTTTGAATCTTCTAAAGAAGATATCTTGGACTCAAATCTTTCCGGAAGGCTTACTAACACCTTTTCAACTATCATCTTGTCATCATCTCAACTCCAACAATCTGATTTTGTTCCACACACTCATGAGTCATCCACATACTCCTTAACCTTCTCTACCTCTTGCATTCTCAGCATTTCAAACTCCCTGCGCAGATTCATAACCTGCATGTTTCGGGTTGTATCACTTCCCATGAATTCCTCTCTTAGTCTATCCCAAGCCTCCTTTGCAGTTTCACACGCCATTATCCTTGTAAATACAAGGTCTGTTACTGCCGAATATATATGAGAGAGAGCTCTTGGAGCTTGGACATTTCCTCTTCATACATCTCATTTGGTTCAGGTTGGGGGGACCAAGTTGGGGTAGCTGTTTCTCCTCTTCACATACTGCCACAGCCTTGTCCTCTCAGGTAGGCTCTCATTCTAAACAGCCCAAATGTGATACTGGTCCCCGTTGAACACTAGAGGTGAGAGAGACGCAGATGGGAAGCCAGCGTGAACGGTTGCAGTTTTGAAAAGCTTCGATTTTTCTTGCGTAAGAGTGAAGTTTGATGGTGATTTGGGATGAGTTTTTTTGAGTGATCTTTTAGACGTTAGTTGGTTGATGAAGCTCTGATACCATGTTCGTTTTTGTGATGCTGGTTATTCAAAGAAGAAGAGAGATAAAACGCAAAAGCTGGTCATTTTCATTAGACAAAACCTGCATATAACATACTTCAACAACTGTTCACACAAACAGCCGAAACTTTCCTTAATCTAAGCTAAGCCACACAAAAGGCTAACTACTTCATTACAAAAGTGAGTCATTAAACAAAGGATTAACATTAAACTACAATATATTTAAGTTACTAAGAAGAGAAGCATCCCATGCAGTCCATGCAGAGTAGAAACTCTTCCAGGTTTCACATGATTCGTCAATCTACTTCCAGCACAGCATCAACCTTCAACAATCCCCAATCCTACACCCATTTTGTTAACAAATCCACCCGTAGAAGTTGTAGAAGCTAAATTTCCTTCATTATCAACAGCTACACATCCAACAGTTCCAATTTGGCTATCACCATCCGCAAGGGAGTTTCATTTTGGCATCCTTCGGAATTGGCGTGTATAATCTAACTGTAGAATCATAACTATGTTACAAGCATGTAAATAAAAAAACCAATCAAAGTGATTCAAACATAAAAACCAATTTTCAGGCACGCGGACATTAAAGTTAAGCCAATGAACAACCAAAAATAATACCCTGGTTAAAGAAACATAACCAAAAAATACATTACAATATGTCAAATGATTAAAAGTTGCAATTATATATAGTCAGTGCATCACACTGATACTATCCTCAGTTATCAAACCATGCTAAGTAAATATATTTTCATACTAGGTTTCTACTTTCTATCAAAACCACAGAAACGTCAAGCAGATGGGCAACCTTAATGGTAGTAAAATTCAAGAAGCAGATAAAAGAGATAACTAATAAGTAAAATTTTTTTTGAAAAGTTAAAAGCATCAGAATTCTGAATCTCATTTATCTACAGTTCTAGGAAAAAGAGATACCTGAACTCTATTGGCTTCTTTTGCCTGCTTTAGCCTTTCAATATTTTCTGGTGTAATAAAATGACTTGAATCTACAGTTTCAACACCCTGGACAATTTAAAAATCACAACCATATGGGACAATTTGATCAAGATCAAAAACTCATCTAACAAATGCTAGTGGGGATGCATCTAACAAAGTGAACAACAAAAGATGATCAAAATTCAACTCAAACTAATATAGAGAAAAATACACAGCTAGTTTATGGAAATTCAGGAACAAACTATTTATGTAAACAAGAAAAAAAAGAGAAGAAAAGGCTTCAAGTGGTCTAGTTCACACAGAACTAGAAAAAACATTTCCACTGAGACAGAAATTCTGATAAAGAACATGCTTCTTTTAGATATTATTCAAAATCAGGAAAAGAACTATTAAATAATGTAGGAAGTACTGTGTATACATGCTTCTTTTAGATATTGTTCAAAATCAGGAAAACAAGACTGTGGAGATCTTCCTTCCAACAAATATCTAACGGTATAAAACAACATTATATTGCATAGCTTCTTGAGAAAATTTGCTTACAGCTGTTTTACTTTTAATAATAATAAGACAAGTTCAGAGCAGTATCACCACAATATGAAAATAGTCAATGAAACGTAGGGGAACCAACACGAGCTCCATGCAAGCAAGTTTGCATGTAAACAGAACTTCAAATTTAAATCAGAGCCAAAAAAGACAGGCCCTCAGCTATACAGGTATGAGCTTAACATAAACAACATAGAGTAGGCAGATTAAGATTGTAACTAACTTGCTCCCTAGCAAAATCCTCTGCTCCATCAAATGCAAGATAAATATGAGGAGTCTTCTCCATGACAAGTCGTGCCAGAGATATAGGATTAACAACAGTGGTAAGTCCAGAAACAGCTCCACTTCTCTTTGTTTTTCCATCCATTATGCAAGCTTCCATCTCAACCGTGCCTTTGGTAGTTAATACAGATCCCCTACTCGCATTAAAGTTTGGATGGTTTTCTAGTTCACGAACTTATTAAGAGCAAAATCAGCAATAATACACAACAAAAATGACTATCAAGTCGACAACTATTCAATGATTTCACCACACAGCAGGCTCATTCACAAACAACTAAAATCTTTCTTTGCATTATTTGTATTATGCAATTATTTTCCCACAATCATACGTTTCCTCAATCAATTTAACTGTATACATAGCATCTTATAGATTTGTCAACCTCAGATAGTGAAGATGAACTTTTTTTTGAACGCTATTGGTGGGTTTGAATGAATTTTTATTTGATTTGGGCTATAAGTTTGTATTTTGGGCCAAGAAACCCACTAAATTTCAGCCTATAAATCCAGATAGTGAAGATAAACGTTGTGGTTTGATGTTAGCTGTTCTCAACTTTGATTATAAAATTTGAATTAGGTGGTATATGATGGTGATTTTACAATAAACTTATGTATACTTTAGGGTTGATATTAATTAATAATAGAATGTAAAGAAAATATTTGCAATTGATCTGAATCGTTCAATCGCATCTTACAAGTTACAATCATCTCCTATGGAAATGGAAGTAATACAAACTCTACATTAATTTAACCATCAAAGAAGAACAGAATAGAACAGATAACTAATCTTGGGTAAAAAACTAAAACATTAAACCGGAACCGTGGAACTTTTGCCTTGCTATTTCATCAAGACGTTCCGCCATTTCATTTGTTAGATGATTCTCCCAATCTCCAACCTTTCCTTCTCTAAAGAATACATCGTTTTTAGTTTTGCGAACACGGTAGAATCCATTCTTACTCACCTCCAAGTTTTTCATTTTCTCAAAACTACATAGTTTCAAAATTTCTTGCACAGTCCCATTTTCTTCTTCTTCTAAAGAAAATGGCCGACCAACAAACTCCGCCACTCTCTTTATATTCAGTAAAGGCTCCTCTTTATAATCTTCATATTTCAAGAAAAGGATCTTGCTTGGAAACTCTAAACTTGCTTTCCAATATCCTAAAAACTGATCCCAATAGGATCCACACGGAAAATCCCTTCACAAAAACATTTCAAATGCATCTTCAGCGACAGTGGAGGCAGATCCTTGGGTTTCACTTCTCACGAAATGACATAAAGAAACGAGCACATCTTAGGATTTCTACAAATGTAAACAATCGGGCAAGATGATTTTTGTGGAATCTGGTAACAAAGTGAAAGGTATATGAGTTGCAAAAATAACGTGGTGATGGAAGAACTTCAGGATCAGCAATCGGAGTGGTCTTGAAAAGGTCAAAATCCGTGAAGGGAACACACTATGGACAACTAGTGGTAGCAAGGGGTGAGTTGAAAAATCAAATCGAGTTCGATTCATTATAGAGAAAAGGAGAGCTTTAAGCCAAGCAGTACCTGATTTGGAAGGAGATAAGGTAAAAGTCAGTGGGTCGAGAGATGAAGTGTTGTTGCATCCACATGATTCCTCAAGACCAACCATGGGTTGAAACCAAAAACTTGATATGACAGAGATGCTGAGTCGCCAACCTCTGTTTCTGGAAGGGTTGCGATTATGTTCTGTAACTGTTGTAGATTCTTTCGATTCTCTTCTTCCTCCTTTGATTTAGGAACAAAGCACTTCGCAGCTGTGATCAGAGCTTCAGCCATGAGAATAGCTGTATAATATTGGATAAAGGTACACCATGATGGGTTACCCCAAGGACGTTTGTGGAATGAAGCTGCCAAATGCAGTTCTCTCTAACCGCTACATATAAAAGAAAAAATTCTTCTTTTAGTAAGACACAACACACACCAATTTTCAAAAAGAAAAATACGTCTCTCTCTCTAGAATTTGGAAAACAGAAATATACTTCGTGATTTTCTTCCAGATTTATTTGTTGCTTCAGAGATAAGAAAAGAGGTATTTATGCGTGTTAATTCATTGTAGTTCATTTAATACAAATATGATTGCAATGGTGACTATGATCTTGGGATTATGTTGGATATATGTTTTCTATGGTATTTCAACATTGGTATCAGAGCTGTGGTTCATTGTTTTAAATTCATACTGTTAATTTTGAAGCCTGTTATTGGTTTGTCAAATGCAGTTCTGAATTTTTCAAATTTTGTATGTAAAAAGTTATCATTTGGTAATGATAATTAGACCATTAAATTCCTTATGAAATTATGAAGAAAATGGTTTTGAATCATAAAAAATGGAGTTTTAAATGACTTAGATATGCCTCTTTGAAGTTTCGGGTTTCGTATGAGTTGATTTCCGGTCGGGTACCCAGTTGCAGAACCGGACAGAGGTTGAAGACGACAAGAACCGACATGTCGTTTTCGATCCAAACTGATGAATGACATGTCATTTTTCCTGTTTGACTTCTTTTTTTAAAAAAATTCAAATAGGCGTGGGTGGCGATATTTGAATCTAAGTCTCCATGGTTGAAAACCAATACCCTAACCACTGGGCTAATTTTGTTTTTGTGTTAACTATTTTACAAAGCCAATATATCCTATCGGCCCAACCCATAACCAAAATAAAAAAATTGGGTCAAGTTGACCCGTGGACCGACCCATATGACCAAACAGGTTAGTCAAACCTGGTAAGAGTCAAACTCGACCTGTAAAGTCAAACGGGTCGGTCGAACCCAGTCAACGCATGACCCGCAAGACCAAAAAAGGTCAGTCAAACTGGTCAACACCCAAACTGTAAAGTCAACAAGGTCAACGGGTCAAACTCGAGTTAGGATCGACCTGTTTGAATGGAGAACGGGTCGACACCGACCTGAATTTGTGTGAACGCGTGTCACGTGTGGAGTACCCGCCGGTGGAGGCGCGTGGAAGCTTCCGCGGCGCGTGGTGCTGCGTGAACTCTCTAGGGGCGCGTGGAGGCGCATGAAGTATTCTAAATTTTTTTTCCTTTGCTGTAAGGAATAAAAAAATAATTGGTATATTGTTATGAGTCTAATTTTGTTATTGAACCATAAACAAGTATATATATTGTTTATCAAATATAGTCAACCTTTATTTGATAAATAAATAGTTTTTTTGTATTTGTTACAGAAAAATGTTATGTTATAGACGTGCAATGGTTGCTAGAACACCCGCTCAAAGGGAAAGGGTTATGAACATGATTAGAACTCTACAAACTTACACATTGATTTTAAGAGACACAGAGGATGAGTTGGTGCAACTCGTAAATCATTTCATCATGTGAATGAAAAGATTCAGGAAATTGTCTGGATAGGGGGATTAAAGGAAGATGAGTCGAAATACAAGTTCTAAGAGAGACTCTTGGTTACCCTAATTTGTGGTCTCCTTGATATGGTTTGGACCAAGCTGAAAGTTCATAACTTTAAAAATGACAATAAAAATTATAGACGTTTGGTCAAAAACTATATCAAGGAGTACATAGATTGGGGTGCGAAAAAGACAGCTGGTGCATCAATAGGAGTCCCCCTCGAAAGGACATCATAAGAAACTGGGAGTTCCCCTGCCTAGGGTAATTACAAGTTAGATAAAGACCTTAGGATAAGGATTATCAGATCCTTACCAGTTTTAGGAATGTGGCTGTACACTTAATTTTTTTTGAGAATTGTTTGTTTTAATTTCATTACATGTTGAATTCTATTTACATAATGGAATTAATTTTATTTATTCAAATTTAAAATTTTATGTGAATTGATGTTGATTTTATTTTATAATTGTGTCTAATATATTTTTAGAATTGCAATTAATTATATCTATGATAATTGGAAATTGGAATTTGGATGATGATTGTTGACATTGTTAACTTTGATTCCAAATCTAATATACATATTATTGGTATAATTAATTAAATAATATGTATTTCGAGCATTGAATAACATGCATTATCCAACATGTAATTTTGTTTAGAAATGGCATCTGCATCTAAGAACATTGTCGCCGAACTTAACAAAGGAGAAAAATTTAACGGCGACAATTATGAGATATGGAGCATGAAAATCAATATGTTTTGGAAAGACAAGAGGTTTTTGAAGCTCTTACTACAACCATGGAAGAGCCTGAAGAGGGAGTCACGGCTCAACATAGACGAGACCGTGCCGCTTATGACATATGGAAGAAGAAGAATTCCACTGCTCGCATCACTTTGTTGAGCAGCATGGACAATGATCTCATGAAGAAGTGCGGGATGTTGAATTAGCAAAGGACATGTGGTCCGCACTTGCTACAAAGTTTGGCGGTACGTCCATTACAAACTCCGGTCATCACTATCAAGTTTGACACATATAAGAAAAAGCCTGAACATAACTATGAGAGTACATTTACGGCATTTGTCAAACATGATAAGTGAGTTGAGAGATGCAGGTCATGTTCTTAACTGATGAACAACAGGTTCAAGCTGTCATAAGGTCATTGCCTCAAAATGGGAACATATGAAAATACACCTTACCCACAATGAGGGCATCAGAAATTTAGAAGATGTCATACGCCATTTGGAACGGAGAAGATCGCCTTAATGCGAGTAAGGAAAATACTGATGTGTATATGGCTGGTTCCAGTTCACATGGTGGGAAGGGATTTAAACGTAAATTCCAAGGTGGATCCCAAAGAAAAGGCAATACTGAAAAGGCTCAAGGGAAAGAGAGAAAGTTCTTCAAACATGGAAAAGAAGAAGCATCTGCTAGGAAGAGGAATATGGCAAAGGTGAAATGCTATAATTGTGGTAACAAGGGACATTTTGCTCGCGATTGTAGCGAGCCGAAGAAGGTAAAACTTGTTTGCACAAGTAAGTTATTAAATGTTTCCAGTTCTGTTTTTCTAACTGAGTCTCATCCTTTGTGGATGTAGATTCAGCAGCAACAGACCACATAGCGAAAGACAGGAGTGCTTTCATAGAGTTTCGACGAATACCACGGGAAACAAAAGGATATATGTAGGTAACAATTCAAAAGTGGAAGTTAAAGGTATCGGCACATGTAAATTGATCATGCGTGGAGGTTGAATCCTATACCTACATGACGTGTTATATGCACCCGATATTCGTCGAAATTTGATTTCCGTTTGAACTTGTTAAACTGGTTTAATAAATTTTTTCAGTACTGGTGTCCATTATTTTGGACACAACATACTATGGTGTGGGTATTTTTCCGATGGTTTATAGTATTTGATGTTACTATAATAATAGTAATGTTTGTTTTTCCTTATTACATCTTCTAATAATGATGATGTGAATGTATGGCATGCAAGGCTTGGCCATATTGGCCAACAACGAATGAATATACTGCAAGAGAAGGCTTGTTAGGATCCTTAACAAAAGTAGACTTGATTACTTGTGAACATTGCTAGCTGGAAAAACAGCAAGAAACCATTTGGAAAAGCGATAAGAGCTGAAGTTCCATTGCAACTAATTCATTCGAATTGTGGTCAAATGAATGTGAGGGCTAGACATGGGGCTGTTTATTTCATCACATTTATAGATGATTTCACTCGATATGGTTATGTTTTCTTGATTTCTCAAAAATCAGAAGCTTTAGAATGCTTTCAAAAGTTTAAAAACTTAGTTGAGATCAATTAGATAAAAACATAAAAGTTCTACGAACCGATTGAGGACGTGAATATTTATCTGATCAGTTTAGAAATTTTTGTGATGAAATGGGAATAGAACGTCAATTAACCATTCCCAGTACTCCGCAACAAACGTGTTGCAGCAACGAAGAAAACAAACCCTACTTGAGATTGTGAGGTCTATGATGGCACAAGCAAACTTGCCCATCACCTTTTGGGGTGATGCCTTATTGACTGCACACATATCCTCAATCGAGTACCATCCAAATCTATTAATACTACACCATATGAGTTATGGATAAAACGGAAACCCGATTTGGTCTCCTAAAGCCATGGGGATGTGCTGCCTATGTTCATGATCCTTCCATAAATATAGAAAATTAGGTCCAAGGGGGAAAGAATGTATCTTATAAGATATTCAGAACATTCAAAGGGATACGTCTTCATAGGAGAACAAGAAAGTGGTAGCATTACTGAGTTTGAATCACGAGATGTCACATTCTTAGAAACTGATTTTCCTAAGAAGGGCGAAATAGGTAAAGACTTGTTTCTATATGAAACACAAGACCAAGGCAATTTTGTTGCCGACAATCAGTTGGTTATATTCATCCCAGTGGGAGCAATATGGAAGTTGATGAATCAGTTTCAGATCCTCCATCATTCCCTATGGCGATCCAACTATGATAGTGGTCCAAGTGGGAGTAACACCAATCAATCTCCAATACGTCGATCAAACAGGAAACAAGTTCCACGTCGAGATTTGAGATTAAGGGGGAAATTTTTCTAGTTACTCCACAGATGACGAAGAGCCAAGGAATGTAAATGAGGATGAAAGCAATGGAGAAGAATTGGAGTCTATGAAATCAAACCAAGTATGGGATGGTTGATTTACGAAAGGACGCAAAGCTATTGGGAACAAGTGGGTTCTCAAAATCAAGCGTAAAGCTGATGGCAGTATTGAAAGATACAAAGCTCGCTTAGTCGCGAAGGGGTATACACAACAAGAAGGAAGAGTTATGAAGAAAACTTTTTCACTGTTGTACGGTTACCTCAATTGAATTATTTAGCTATAGTTGCTAGCATGGATCTTGAATTGCATCAAATGGATGTAA